GGGTGATTGGGGGGTGAAAACAAAAAGGGTCTTCCGGAAATCCCGGAAACAAAATGGCTATCTGACACGAAAATCCTAGAAAATAAGTGGATTTTTTACCCAATWAGATAGCTTGGATCCTACAGAGAATTTGTAGCGGGGAGACGGGGAGATGGGGAGACGGGGAGACGGGGGCGGGTACGGAGTTTTCGAATCAAGAGAAAGAAATAAATGACCAGACCGAGGGACAGAACTAAGCTTTAGATAAAACAATAATTTGCTTATATGTTTTCATTGTTGTTCTTTTTTTCCTCTAACAGCGTGCTTCCACACTAAGGTTCAAGTCAGTTGTCAGTAAGTATTCTTTTCTATGGAACCTATATTGCTTARTGTTCCCCTTCCACGGGTATTGCTCTCAGAACTGATTTTACGCCAATACAAATTTACTTACTTTAAAAAAGAAAGTTCAGATCGATTTCTTTAGTTACTAGCTCTCTAAACAGCAGCAAGAAAAGCTTCAATCAAGTTATAAAAGTGATATTTTGCTTGAATTCAGAAAGCTTGCCAAACAAACCAAGTAAATAATTCKTTTAAAAGTCAGTACACTCCTAAGGAAATCCGAGAGCAATGTCCGAATTTCTTGGTGACGGTAACACAATGCAACACCGCTTATACTTTCGTGGTGCTCGTTCCTAGTCTTACACTCGTTTTGCATATGGTCTATTCCTTCGGCCCCCGTCCCCTTCTAAAAAGTGAATACTCCCTTACATATACKAACTTAATCTTTCCCCTCGCTTCATTTGATGCTTTTCCACAGATGTTGCTATAAATAGAATAGTTCCTTACCCCTTATTGTTTATTTCAGGGGACAGTTTCGAAGACAAAGATCATCCTGCTTATCACCTCTTTCCCACCAARGGAAAAACTTATAAAGCAACACCGGACAACGTAAGTAAAACTCTAGTTTTAGTTCGTATGTCATTGACCTCTCTCCAGCGAAGGTCTGTGCTTAGTGCGGCGGTTTTCGATACTCTACGAACTGTGTAGTTGATCAAGAGCCTTGCATTACTAGGAGCGTCATATGAAAAAAGTGCAAAAGTGAGTCGACAGGTTCTGTGTGAACCAATCATAGTCTGCAAACAATTATTATGATATTCTTATAAATCATTCATTTATTTTTTTAGACACCAAAAAACCCCATCAAGAGGCTTTATTAGTAAGTATTGATCATTTTTACATTGAGAAACTCTGGAGAAACTCTAGTCTCACTTTCTTTTCAATATCTTACGGCTAAACCAAACCTATGGGCCTCGTTACATGGGCGAATTTGGGCAAAATAATTTATTGTTAGTTTCTCTTCTTCAAGGTACACCAACATGGCTGCCATGCCTCTATGATATGTTAATATATCGACATTTTTTTCTTCTAGTTTGACGAACAATAATGGCAAGCTGCTGAATCGTGCTATCGAAGACACCAGGACAATTTGCAAGTCCAACCTGACCAGCAATTGCAGTAAGTAAACCCTTGCCTTGCAAAACTTATATTTTACAACCATCACYCCCCGTAAGAGAATCCTCCATACGATTCACTCCACACGCACTACCCCTACCCCCTACCCCCTCCCCCAAACAGAGTCTGGCCACCCAGGCTAATTATTTACAACACACAAATTAACACTCAACTCACATGTTGATTTTTGCGAAGGGAGGAATTTAAAACCGCTGGAAACCCTAAGAAAAAAATMTTGTAGCACAGGAGAGAACCAACAAGCAACTGTRCTCACATAACGACACCAACCCCGGGAATCAAACCCGCGACACGTCAGGCCAGGCGTGACCCCAGTAAACCGCTGACTCGCAAAAAGCGTGGGCGGAGATAAAATTCTAATAAACATAAAACTATATGCTGTGGGTTTTTGGACAGTGCGAAAAAAACAATGGCTTGCAAGAAGTGCACGCGAAAATTAAGATGCTGACTTACTAGACTTGGAAATGCGCGATTATAGTACCTTTTAATTAATCCCCTCACATTTCTCTCCGATCCCATCGAACAGTCMCTATAACTGTCGATCCTATTTCTTCTAGTCTATCTCTTGGAYACGGAATCTCAACTTTATGTCTGGATCGGTAGCGAAGTCAGCTATCAGGAACGATGCCGAGCCCTCTTTGTTGCTGAGGTATTTAATAATTAAGKGACTTGAGCATGATCCACAGGGGRCCCAATTTAGATAAAACCGACTTTAATTCAATCATTTTTCTATTTACTTACTCCACTATATTTTCATTTATTATTTTCTTTGTTGAAGATGTAGAGCTACTCTGTAGATATGCTTCTATAAATCGTTATTATTATTATTATTATCATTATTATTATTATTATTATTATTATTATTATCAGTTGTATAAGTAACGACATTTGATACTATGGGGGGGGGTGTGTGGAGGGTGGAGATACTCTGAATCATTTTTGATCGACTTTATTGAAATACTCTTTCCACGTGATCTGAGAGAAAATGTTAGCCAATCGGAATCGAGGAAATTAGCAAAACTGAGTGTCAATTTCCCTCTTTAAATTATGGATTTTCATTCTACCAAAAGAAAAAAAAAACATTGCATATAAGAGGTTGATAACAGTTACACAAAACAATAAAGAGTTATATATATTTTTGTTGCAATGGTGGACAGGTTTTTATTTTTCGYTGGTCGTTTGTCACAGGCTTCATGACATGTCAGTTTTGCAGTGACGTCATTTCTACGTCACGATCTAAGATTAGCTTTGATTTTCATATAAGTAACGACATCAGATATCTTAGAGGAATTATACACAAAAACAAAGGCGCGGGAGGAGGGGGAGGG